TGGTAAGAGTAGGTTCCCAGGGGCAGAGAATGATTCAGAAGTGAAAGGTTTCTTACTTTTCTTTTTCTTCCTTTGTTTCTTTTTCTTTTTTTGGTCAGGGAACCCTTGTGAAGCTCTCTGCACCTCCAGTGTCAGAGATGGAAGGTTCTTGGGGATTGTCCAGGTTGGGGCTCATGCCCAGAGCCTATAAATGGGCTTTCGAGATCTATGAGCCTCTCAAACAGTCTCAGAATGCTGTGCATATATGTGAGAGTCCATCTGGGGCAGGGTCCTCATCTCTATCAGATGCTGAGAGAGACCCCAGATGTGGGAATGGTTCAGAATCTCTGACACAGGTGGGGAAAATGAGATCAAAGAAGGTCTCATTTTCATTTTTCTGAGCTCCTTTAGCAAATTAGAGGCTAAACCAGTAGTCTGTCTCCCTGCGACATCAGTGGTCTCGGCCTTACCTCCACACCGATGTTCCAGAGCAGTGCTCTCTGACCCCAGCCTCTTCTACATGCTCTTCCCAGGCTAAGCAGCCCTGGACTCCTGTAAGCTTAGGTTTTGCCTGTTGGGAAAACAGCTCCAGAGCCCCCGTCCCAGCTCTGCCCTGGTGTCCCCATTTCCACCAAGTGGTCTGCACCCCCAGCCTCAATCCCGTGCTGCCACTGTGTATGGGGATGGTCAGTGTGGGTCCTGTTTTCTCCAATGCCACCCCAGCCTGACTCTCTGGGTTATCCCTTCCCTGGCCCCAGATTCTCCCAAAGCAGAAGGATTTTTGACCCAGTGATGTTGGTCTAGCTGCCTTAACTTTGCCTGTAGGCCTGGAGGCTGCTTATCCCCACTTTGTCACCCAGAGGATTGTCCTATGTGTCCGTCTACCTCCCTCCATGTGTTAGTGTGTGTGCGCATGTGCGTAAGAGCACACGAATGTCCACATTGCTCAGAGACAAGCGCACGGGCACCTGTGCACATACGCTTGCCTCTGTGTCTTGCAGTGCCACCTGGAGCCTTCCTGCTAGGACCTACCTCCACTTGGGCTTCCCAGTGTCCCTGGCTTAGACCATGGAAGGGACCATAAGATTATCCCTATAATAGTCTAGTGTTCCAAGCAGACTCTCAGCCTTGTCATTTTCCAACTTTGTGACTCTGAGCATGCTCCTGAACCTCTGCCAAAGATGGGGGTGATGATAATTCCAGGGTATCCATTCAACAAATATTTATAAGGTGCCTACTGTATGTCACACATGGTATGAGGCTATGGAGAGACAGCTATGAACATGACAGGTCCCCACTCTCATGAACTTGCTTCTCAGTGTCAGGGAGATGAGCAGGACATAAGCAGACAGCAAAGGGAGTTCAATTCTGCTTGGTGCTCTGATGCCTCAGGGTGGAGTGTGAGAGTGTGCTAGGTGGTCAGAGATGGCCTCTTTGAGGAGGCAGCATTGGAGTTGAGCCTGGGATGGTAGAAAAAGCAGTCACTTAAAGATATAAGGAAAGAACCTTCTAGGTCAAGGGTATAGTTGGTGCAAAGGCCCTGTGGTGGGAATGAGCTCAAGGAGAGAAAGAAGGCCAGGGTGGCTGAAGGGAATGAGGAGAGACAGCAGACAGCTCAGGCAGGGCCTTTTTAGGCCATGCTGGGGGGGACTGGATTCTAATCTTAGGGTGATGGGAAGCATGAGAGGGTTATGAAAGAGGCGGGCATGTGATGTCATTTGTGTTTTCATAGAGCACTCCAGCTGCTGTGGGGAGAGTGGCGAGGGCCACAGGGTTGTCTTAGGAGCAACTGAGACCCAGAAAGTGCTTGGCTCAGCTGTCAGCCCTAGCCCAGCCAGGGTTCCTCTATCATCATGGTCCTTATCTTGCCTGGTGCTGAAAAAGAGGCTGCTGAACCCAAGGTCATCCCAAGGACTGTGGGTAGTAGGAGCTCCTGCCTGGAAAGGGCCCTGGATCAGGCTGAGAGAAGCTGCAGGGATCTTGGCCACTGGCAGCCTGTCATTTGCAGTCATCTCCTTGGGATGAATGCCCAGGGCCCAGCAGTACCCTCTCCCTTACTCTTGCCAGTGGGGCTGGAGGTGGGCAGGGTCAGTGCTTCAGGCCTTCTCTCTGGGTTGAGAATACGGGCCCTTGATTTCATGAGAGGGCCTGATAGGGGGCCTGGAAATGATGGCTCATCCTGCACCTCCAACCTCGGGCAGCAGAGGGAGGCTACAGGTTCTGGAGGCAGCTACTCACCGTGTGCTCTCCTGAAGCCTTCCTGGATCCTGTGCCTCAGTCTCCCCATTTGTTAAATGTGGTGGTGGAAAGAGTAGAGCCTGGTTGCCTTTCATCCTTGACCTCAGATCCTTAAACCTCAGATTGCTCAGCGTTTGTCACCTTAGGTTCCTTCACCAACTCTGGGGGAGGAGGGGCAAACGGTCCCATTCTGCAGATGGCTTCACAAAGGCCAGATGGGGCAATGATGAACGGGGTACATAGCTGTTCCAAGTGAGGCTTTGGGGCGTTGTTTTATACCTCTGCTCTGAATCTTACCACTTATGCACCCTTCCTGAGGCTCAGTAAGAAAGGGGGTCCTGGCTCAGCTCTTCTGGACTCAGCTGGCCCTCTGCCCTGGCAGGGACTCTGGGCCCCCCGCCCAGAATAGAGCTCAATGCTGCCCCTTGTCTGCCCACCCAGAAACCAAGCATGCGGCCCAGTGCCCGGTGCTGGCAGAACCTCCATTCTGCTCCCAGCTGTAGGAGGACATGGCAGGGAAGGTAGGGATGCAGCTAGCTTGAGGAAGCTGCTGAAAGTTGGGGGGTAGCACAGGGATCTCCCAAGGGGTCCTTGATTTATCTACAGCCCTGACTTTTGGGCTGGTGGAGATTGAGCATCAAGCGAAGCCACTTATACTTTCAAGCCTTGGGTGGGATCAGGCTCCAACCTCATGCCTCAGACCAGCGCTCACCTGGCCCGGGGCTGGAAAGCAGGCCAGAGGGCTAGACTAAGATTCAGGCAGCAGGCCAACAGGCCCCCTCTCTCTTCATTTCTTTTTAAATGCCACCCCCCACCCCCTGGAGACTAAGTTGAGGAGGTGACCTCCCGTCCTCCTGTTCTCCCTCCTCTGGGTACACAACCAGAGGGAACAGATCGAAATAGCAACAGCGGTGGCGGGGATGTAGGGCAGACCAGAAAGACAGTGCTGAGCCCCCAGGGTCCCTGGTGTCCTAGGATCAAGGCTCAGATAGTTTGGAACCTGAGCCTTGCTTTCAGATTTTTTTTTTTAAATATGTGGACTTAAAAAAAAATCTTATTCTCATGCAGTGGTCTAAACTCTAAAGGTGATGATCAGGGTGGGTGGGCTGGGGCCGCAGGTCTGTCTGACCTGTCCTCTTTTTCTCCATGTTTGCAAACCCAGGATTAAATTAATTTTGTCCTAGCTGATCTTTCTTCAAGGACCTAGAAGTCCCCCTAGAAGTAGATCCACCTTCCTCTCTGGGCTCATCTTCTTTAAGAGGGAAGTCCTCCTGGAGTTTAACCCATGTTTCCCACACTTGCCTCATTATAGAATAACAGTTTGCCATCTCTGTCCTGTAGAGTCTGTTCAGAGTCTGGGGTAGACTCTGTATTTTAATGTCGTCCTCAGGTGAGAATTCTGAAGAAGCAGGTACAGGAAGTTTGGGTCTCATGTCCTTGTAGCTGCCCGGCAGCTTGTTCTGTTGCAGCCCAGAAAGAGGACCCACTCCTCTCCTCCTGAAGCCTCTCCTGGACCCAGCAGCCCTTCTCAGAGGAGAGTGGGGGTAACCAAGGCCTATGGAGGGGAGGAAGAAGGTGGCCCAGCCAGAAACAGGAACAATGCCCTGGATTCCTGCTTTTTGCAGCTCTCAGGGCATTTGGAGTCACTGGTTTCCCCCCTCCCCACACCAAAGAGGTGACTGTGGGTGGCTACCTAGACTAGGTGGGGCCTGGGGCAGAGAGTGGAAGGGGGGTGAGCTGGACCACAGCTCTTTGCATACAACCTCTGCCCTTCCCAGCGGTTGGGAAACCTGGGTTGGCTCCTAGCCATTGTAAATGGGGGAGGGATAGAGATGGAGCACAAAAGGGGTCTCCTCATTTCACAAAAGAGAAACAGACCCAATACAAGGCAGAGGGGAGTGGGGCTGGCCTGGCCAGTGCAGTCAGGAGGCCTGGCCTAGACTGACACAAGGCCACACAGAAAGTTGGGCAGAGTGGGGCCTGACCCGCCTCGCCATGCTCTCTCCACAGTGCTCCCCAGGGGCTTCCTCTGAGTCCCTCCTCAAGCCTGGCGAGCTGTGGTGGGGATCTGGATGTGGAGGGGAACCCCAAATCTTTTCCTCCTCCCTCCTGGCACAGCCAGAGTGCTGGGCACTACAGAGGCAGCCTGGTCTCCCTAAGGCTCTCAGGTGGCGCTGCACTCGCCCAGCACCCTGGACAGCGCCTCACTCTGGGCCTCCTATGGCTGATGTCTCTAAGATCCGCTTTGGCTTCCCTGGGGTGGACCCACCTCTGACTGAGCTGACTGAACTGCACTTCTGTTGACTTCCTTGCTTCCTCTCCTAATGCCCCATAAGGGTAGCCTCCAGCCCAGTTCTCTCCTCTAACTCTAAAGATTCCCTCATCTCTGGCCCCTGGAACAAGCGCCGGGGACCTGTCAGCCAGCAGGAATGGAGGGGCCTGCAGGAGGTGCTGCCAGGGCCCAGCTCCTCCCTACCTGGATCTTCACTGGGGGACTTTGGTGAATTCTGGAGGGCACCACAGACAGAGGAGGTAACAGGGAAGACAGGAACTGAGGCACAAGGGATTGACACAGGGGTCAGGGGACAGTGAGAGGGCCTGGCCTAGGCAGGGCAGTGAGGGGGCCCTGACCTGAGCCCAGACTCCAGCTGGAAGGGTCCTGAGATCATCATGACCACCCTCCTGCCCCCAGGCAGGCTGTACCGGTAAAACTGCAGGGCTTTGGATCCCCTGATCCCTGCCTGTCTGACAGACTCTGACCTCATCTCTCTGTCTTCTGCCAGGTCTACTGGAGTCCCAGGAGCAGCTGGGACAGGATGGAAGCAGTGGCTGCCATGGAGGAGGATAAGCTCCCATCCTCACTGCCTGAGGAAGGCGGTGCCACTTGGGACCCCAGCCTGGCACCTGAGGAGGAACCTGGGGTCCAGAATGGAATGGCAGCCAGTGAGGAACTGAGCAGCCGCCTCAGCAGCCCAGTGCACGAGGAGAGGGGAACCCTGGAGGATACTGAGGAGCCCACAGAGGACCCAGATGAGGCTCTGTCTGCCATCAGCCTGGGCCTCTCCCTCACCAATGGCCTAACCCTGGGGCCAGATACGAACATTCTAGAAGATTCAACAGAGTCTAGGCCCTGGAGGGTTGGTGAGCTGGTGGAGGGGGAGGACATCCCCAGGAGCCTCTGTGCAGACACTGAGGACCCTCAGCTGGGGTAAGTGGGTGTCTTGGGTTGGAGGCTTACCATGTTAGGCAGCTCCAGTCCTATGTGGCCTGTGCCTAGCCCCTTATTTTTCTGGTCCCTGTTTTTATCATACATAAGATGGGACTCTCATATCCCTATTTTGTCCACCTTCTGGATGTTTGGGGAGGATAGGGTCATGAGTGGGAATTCAAAGGCTAGCAGGTTTATTGTACCCCCAGCCCTTAGCCCTGCAAGTCATCACGAGCTGATTTTGTCAGGTGCAAGGATTTTACTCCCTCCATCCTAGGCTGGCATTTGAGTTCCAATTCCTTTCAAAATGCTTTGATGGGCTGGGGTTGTGACTCAGTGGTAGAGCGCTTGCCTAGCATGTGTGAGGCACTGGGTTCAATTCTCAGCACCACATAGAAATAAATTTAATAAAATGCTTTGTTGTGCCAGGTGCAGTGGCACACACCTGTAATCCCAGTGGCTTGGGAGGCTGATACAGGAAGATCATAAGTTCAAAGCCAGCCTCAGCAAGGGCGAGGTGCTTAACAACTCAGTGAGACCCTCTTTCTAAATAAAATACAAAATGGGGCTGGGGATGTGGCTCAGCGGTTGAGTACCCCTGAGATAAAAAAACAAGCTTTGATGTGAAGGTCATCTGGGCCATGCCTCGACTTTCTGCAGATGAGAATCTGCCAGTCCTGCAGCTGGCCCCAGAAAAGCAGGCTTTGTGAGGTAGCCTTCTCAGTCACCCTCATCTGAGGTTGCCATCAGAAAGTTCTACCGGGATTCCACTTCAGTCCTGCTTCCTGGAGTTGTAGCCTCATTTCCGTTATCCTCAATAGGAGGTGGCAAGACTTGCAGTCTTGGGGTGCCATTGGGAGGAGGGTGGGGATTGGGCATAGGAAAGTCTAGAAGGCACCAACGAGGGCTGAGAAGAGAGCTGAGAAGAGAAGGCTTGGTGAGCACAGCTGTAGTCTCTGTCCAGAAGAGGCAAGTGTGCAGGTGTGTGTGTGCCTGGCCTACACAGGGGTGTATGCATGGGCATGTGTGAGTATGTTGACATGCATGGGCTGTGTGGTTGTGAGTGGGGGTGTTGGTGTCTGGCCTGTGCACTTGTGGGTGTGTGTTTGGGCCTGTAGTGGACGTCGGGGAGAAGTGTCTTTAGGTCTGGGTTGGCATGTGAGTACAGTACGTGGGTCTGCGAGCCCGTGTGAACTAGGTGTGCATAGCTGCAGGTTGCATCCACAGAGGGCCTAGGACAGCCACTGAAGCTAGCAGGGGTTGGCAGGAGCCTGGGAGCACACTGTTCATATTCAGGTGACTTACTAATTTGGGATGACTAAGGGTGGGTGCAGATGGAGGTTTGGAAATTTGCTGATGGTTTTCAAGCCTCCATCAGGGCCATTCCTCAGGTCTGCTCTGTTACATGAGCAGGTGGGAGATGGGGGGGTACCATTTGTGGCTCTGACAATGGCTGAGAGTCTCTCAAGGGCACGTCTCTCTCTCTCTCTCTCTCTCTCTCTTTTTGTATGGGGGATTGAACTCAGGGGTGCTCTACCACTAAGCCACATCCCCAGCCCTATTTTTGTATTTTATTTAGAGACAGGGTCTCACTGAGGTGCTTAGAGCCTTGCTAAGTTGCTGAGGCTGGCTTTGAACTCGATCCTCCTGCCTCAGCCTCCCAAGCTGCTGGGATGACAGGCATGGGCCACCATTCCTGGCATGGCTGTGTCTTATTTGGATGTAACTAGTACTCAGCACACTCCTGACAGAGGTGTCCTTTCTAGGCAGACCAAAGTCTAGGACGCTTTGGTTTGGGGAGTGTGGAGCTGAGGGAACATACAGTAAGCTGGAAAACAAACACAATACTACATACTGATAAGGGCTAGGGTGACAGCAGGGATCCCTGAGGATAGGGAATGGAGAGAAGGGGCCAGCATGGTGTGGGCCTGTTCCCCTCTGTATTACCCAGGGAGCGACATAAAGGCAAGCCCTGAGAGTAGAGTGGTTGGCTGAGCTAAGAACCTCCTAGGCTGTGAGAACAGCAAAATGATGACCTAGTATGACACTAGTTGTGACAGGGAGCTGTCCACATTGCTCTGGGAACTCAGAGGAGCAGCCACCCAGGCCAGGCTGGGGGACGAGACCTCATAGTCACTTATTTAGAGAAATATCGGAGGCCTACTGTGATCCAGGTTGCTGGTCAGGCCCTGAGGGTCAGGACCACATCTGTCCCTTATGCTCCTGTATTCCCAATCCCCATCCCAGCCTTGAGCCCCTAGTGCTCAGTAAGTTTTGGCTGAAAGAAAAATCAGCAGAACACAACCCATGCCTGCCCTGCTCCCAGGGAGCTCCCAGCCACCAACCCCTGTGTGGCGTACCCCTGGGCAGGATGGTGACTGGGTCCTTGCATCCCACAGGCTGGATGGCACCGGGGAGCCAGATGTGCGGGATGGCTTCAGTGCCACCTTTGAGAAGATTCTGGAGTCAGAGCTGCTGCGGGGCACCCAGTACAGCAGCCTTGACTCCCTGGATGTCCTGAGCCTCACAGATGAGAGTGACAGCTGCGTCAGCTTCGAGGCCCCCCTCACCCCCCTCATCCAGCAGAGGGCCCGTGACAGCCCTGAGCCAGGGGCTGGGATGGGTGTGGGGGACATGGGGCCTGAGGGGGACATGGGGGCAGCTGGTGGTGATGGGGAGCTGGGCAGCCCCCTGCGGCGCTCCATCTCTAGCAGCCGCTCAGAGAACGTCCTGAGCCGCCTGTCTCTCACAACGGTGCCCAATGGATTCCATGAAGACGGGCCCCAGGGTCCAGGCGGGGATGAGGAGGAAGATGAGGAGGACACAGACAAGTTGCTGAACTCAGCCAGGTGAGGCAGGCCTGGGGCTGGGGCTGGGGCTGGGGCTGGGGCTGGGGCTCCATCTTTGAACAGACGGAGATACTGAAACCTGGAGGGGACAAAGCATATTTGGGTGAACCAGTGTCCAAAGTCAACGAGTCCTCTCCAAGGCTGGCTTGTCCATCCTCTGCATCCAGAATTCTCACCCTGAGTTTCCATTCTGCCCTTCAGGTTTTCTCAGCTTGTAGGAGATCAGGGAGCTGTGTCATGGGCATGTGCAGTAGCTAATGATTTCTTTTGAAGGGTTGGTTCTTTTGAAAATCTAACTTGATTCTTTCCTGCTGCAGTGGAGCTTCTTCCTCTGCTCTGGCCCTTGCGTGGGTTTTTAGAGACCTGGGATTCCTTCTAGCCTTGCATCAGACCTCTGCCCCGGGGCCTCTGATCTCCCTCCTCCATCTACAGTGATCCTAGCCTGAAAGATGGCCTGTCAGACTCGGACTCAGAGCTGAGCAGCTCGGAGGGGCTGGAGCCTGGCAGCACAGACCCGCTGGCCAACGGGTGCCAGGGGGTCAGCGAAGCTGCTCGCCGGCTGGCCCGCCGCCTCTACCACCTTGAGGGCTTCCAGCGCTGTGATGTGGCCAGGCAGCTGGGCAAGAAGTGAGTGGGCCTCCCACCCCTCCTACCCCATGTAAACCTGTCACCTTCTCCAGCCAGTGACTGTTTTCAGGAGTAGCTGGTATCAAGGAGCTCCCAACACCCTCAAGGACACCTCCTCCTGCCACTGTCCTCATTCCTGGCCGCGCCCTAAATCTGTTTCCTTTCTGGGCTGCTTGGGCCAGGGCTGTTGCTCTCAGCTCCCTTGGGGCTGGGGTGCAGTATATGGGATGTGGTTATGGGGTCATCATGAATGGTAGTGAGGACAGAGCAGCTGGTCAGGAGCTAGTGGCCAACCTAATGGGGCCAGGGAGAGAGGAGAACCTGGGAGAGGAATGGCAGGGGACATATCCAGACACCTGGGCTCAGGAGGGAGTTCCCAAGCCTCATGAAGCCCTACTGTCTATTGGGACCAGCTGAAGGGGCTGGAACCCCCAAGTTCAAGCCTTGGCCTTCAGCCTGGGGTGCAAAGGGAAGAGCTTGGGGCACAGTAAGGGCTATGACTGAGGAAGTCGGCTGGCACAGCCCCACGCATGTCTCACCAGTGTGGTCCCTGCTTTTTAATTCATTTTTTTGGTACCAGAGATTAAAGCCAGGGTCACTCAACCACTGAGCCACATCCCCTATTTTGTATTTTATTTAGAGACAGGGTCTCACTGAGTTGCTTAGTGTCCCACTTTTTTGCTGAGGCTGGTTTTGAACTCACGATCCTCCTGCCTCCGCCTCCAGAGCCATTGGAATTACAGACGTGCGCCACCTTACCCCACTGGCCCCAGCTTTTGACCCTTCTGTCCAGAAGGCCTCCCAGCCCACGGAAGGCTCTGAGGTGGGCAGAACAGACCTGGCTTCCGCTTGCTGCTCGAAAGGCTAAGGAAGACAGTCAGACCCTCGGCCACCAGTCAGAGCTCGCCCTTGGGGTGGCTTAGGCCCCAGGTCCTTCCCCCTCCCTCTTGCTCCTTCCCCCTCCCTCTTGCTCCTTCCCCTTCCACTCAGCCTACACTGGGCCCCCAACAACCCCAGCCTAGAAATCACAACTCAGATGCCCCCATCTTCCCTTCTGGGTTGTAGGCCCCACTCCCCTGAATGCATGGCAGCCTTTCAGTCCCCTTTCTGTGATGAGTCCCTCTCCTGTCTTTTCTGCCACTCCCTCTTTAGGCATCTGCTTACCTGCACTTAAGGGCATTTGTCTCCCAAAAGCAAAGCAAAGCTCTTCCTCCAACTTCACAGCCCACATTCTCAGGTTTTCTCCCTTAGGTGCATCTAACCTTCCCCTTCTTCTCCTCCTCACTCATCTCCTATAAATTGGTTCACCACCCCCATCTTCGGAATCTTCTCTTTTCAAGGTCACTGGTGACCTGGTGTCTTTGAAACTGGTGACCACTCCCCAGTTCACCTTCAGCAGCTTCGACACCATGGATCACTCTTTTTTCTTTCTTTCTTTCTTCCTTCTTTAAAAAAAAAAAAAATATATATATATATATATATATATATATATATTTAGTTATAGATGGACACAATGCCTTTATTTTATTATTTTTATGCGGTGATGAGGACCCAACCCAGTGTCTCACATGTGCTAGGCAAGCGCTCTGCCGCTGAGCCCCAGCCCCAGCCCTCCTTTTTATTTCTTTAAAGTATTATTTTTAGTGTGGAAATTTCAAACATACACAAAAGCAGAGAAAGTAATATATTAAATCTTCACATACTCATTTTACTCAGCTTTAAAGTTATCAATATTTTAAAATTCTCATTTCATCTACTACCCTGCAGCTTTTTCCCTCCATTTGCTGGAATATTTTAAAATATATTTCAGACACTCCATTATTTGATCCTTAAGCACTTTAATGTATATCTCTAACTGATCAGAGTCTTTCTATGTAATTATAATTCCATTATAATTGCAAAAAAATAGCAAAAATTCCTTATTATCTCTAAATTCGATTTATGTTTAATTTTGTCTGAGTGTCTTAAAAATGTTGGTTTGTCCAAATTAGGACCCAAAGGAGGTCTGCCACATTGCATCTGGCCCTGTGATTTCTAAATGTTGTTTAATCTACAGCAGTCAAGAGTCTCTTCCTTTTTCTTTTTCCTTTTTTTTTTTTTAATGGTACCTGGGAGTGAACTCTGGGGCACTCGACCGCTGAGCCCCATCCCCAGCCCTATTTTGCATTTTATTTAGACACGGGGTCTCACTGAGTTGCTCTAGGCCTCACTAAATTGCTGAGGCTGGCTTTGAACTCAAGATCCTCCTGCCTCAGTCTCACTAGCCGCTGGGATTGCAAGTGTGCACTACCGAGCCTGGCTTCTCCTTCCTTTTCCATGTGCTATATATTTGTAGAAGAAAGTGAGCCAGTGGTTCTGGAAAAATTTCCACCTTTTGGACGCGGTATCCTCATGGTGTTTATTTCATAGGTTCCTCTGTTTCCTGCGGGTCCTGTTAACAGGAGGGAGAGCTTGAGGCTTGATTAGAATCAGGTGGCAAAGAGTTCCCTCATTCCAGTCTTGGGACACGTTCTTCAGTGGTCTCCCGAACAACGCTTCCCTCTTCTCTGCCTGTGTTCCTCCATCTCCTTCACTGCTTCTCTCTTTGTTCTATACCTTTAACTGAGGCTTTCATCAGAGCTCTGCCTTGGGCTGGCTGCCCTGACTCTGCACCTTTTTCTCCTGTGGGCTCAGCTCCCACTGCAAATCATTATTAACTACCATGGAGTAGTGACTCTCCCAGGGATCCTTTCAGCGCTGTCCCTGTCCTGAGCTCTGACATCTTCACTGTTTTAGTCATGCCACACCCCCATTCTATCTCCCTTTTTGGTGGATTCTGCCTCCATAATTTTTTTTTTTGTACCAGGGATTGAACCCAGGGGCACTTTATCACCAAGCCACATCCCCAGCCCTTTTAAATATTTTATTTAGAGGCAGGGTCTTGAGTTGATTAGGGCTGGCTTTGAACTTGTGATCCTCCTGCCTCAGCCTCCTGAGCTGCTGGGATTACAGGTGTGCACCACACACACTCAGCCTCTGCCTCCTCAGTCTTCTCCCCGTCTCTCCCATCTCTTTCTTGGACTACTAGAAAGTTGTCCAAGACCAGGGGTCTCCACTCAGCAGGTAGTGTTCCAAAATACGAATCTGACTGCCCTGCTTCAGACCCCCAGAATCACATCATTTCCCTTGAGCTGCAGCCCTGTTCCCTGTCTCATCTCTTACCTCCCCCATTCCTGCTCTCCAGGCTCTGGCCATACATCCCTGTCGTAGCATCTTGGACGTGTTTTGCAGTTTCCTCCTTTGGGAACACTTGGCATCATCCCATCCCCCACTCCTTGCCCCAGGTAGCACTTTTTAGTGTTGGCTGAGACATCACCTCCTCCAGGAAGCCCTCCTGATCTCCCAGCCCAAGGCTGAACAACAAGCCTACTGGCCACTAGGGGAGGCAGCCTAGGGGTAGGGAGATGTGGGTGGGTGGGTCAGGTACTCTGAAGCCAAGTCCCCCTGTAGTTCTGTCATCCTTGGGATGGACCCCGCTTCTAATTGACTTCTCATACTCTCCCTGCAGCAACGAGTTCAGCAGGCTGGTGGCTGGGGAGTACCTCAGTTTCTTCGACTTCTCAGGCCTCACTTTGGACCGAGCACTCAGGTCAGTGGGGCTGGGATGGGACAGTGCCCACAGGTGGATTCACATCTCAGCTGTATCAGAAACTGCTGTGCAACTTTGCACAAGTCTCTCGAACTCTCTATGAGGCTGTAAGGGCAGCAGCAGAGCAGCACCTCAGGTTGGGCTGAGGATACAGAGGTGGGAACACAGTCATGACTCTAGGAGAGGGAGGCAAAGGGCTGCTTCTGTGAGAACTTCCTGCCTGTCACGTGCCACACTTGGTCCTCAGCAGCTCTGCAAGGTGGGCGTGATCAGCCCCCTTTCTCCAATGAGGAAACTAGGAGCAGAGAGGTGAAGAGGCTTCCCCACCATCATTGAGGAGATGATGAAAGGGGATTTGACCTCAGCTCTTACTGGTGTTTGGACCCAGGGAGTAGGTCCCAGGAGGGCCAGGTGCAGGCCCAGGGAACAGGAGGGGTGGGATGGGTGGATATAGCCCAGGGTCAGCAAGCTCTGGTAGGGACCAGCTGGGGGATATAGACCAGGCCTTAGGAAGGATGGAGAGCAGTCTCTAAGCTAAGAGTGGATGGTCCATGTATGCTAGGCCTTTTTACTGTGTCTCTTATACTTTTTTTTGTGTGTGTGTGGTGCTGAGGATTGATCCAGGGTCTTGTGTATTTGAGGGAAGCACTCTACCAATTGAGCTATGTCCCCAGCCCTGTCTTATATTTTTACAAAATGTAACTTCTATTATTTTTTCTCTGTTTTGGTTGGGGTATTCTTCCAGTTCACTTACCTTTTCCCTGTATTCAATATGCCATTAAGCCTATTTGTTTTTAGTTTGTTTTCATATTTTTCAGTTCTAGAATTTTCCATCTTATTGAAACTTTTAAAAAGAAATTCTAATTCTCTGGTGAATTTCCCATCTTTTCATTCATTTTTTTTCCATTTTTCCCTCTGATCTTGAGCATGCTAGTATAAATTTGCTATCTATTGTCTCTAATATCTGCATCATTTGAATCACTTGTCCCTGTTTCTATTGTCTGTTTTTTCTCTTGGTTTTCTATCATCTATACTGTCTCTTTGCATGCTTAGTAATTAAAAAAATTAGATTCTGCATATTTTGAATAGAACTATGGTGACTCAAGATTAATCTGTATTATTCCAAAGAGGGTTCACCAAGTCCTTTGCTAGGGAGTTAGAGGAGGGAAGCATGGTGACGTGGTCCTACTCTAGCCAGAGCTGGACTGAGGAGAGGCAGTGCCAAAGCCTGGTATGGCTCAGGGTCTGTGTAGATCACGGGGTGAAGATCCCAGGAGGAAACCTTGGTGGTTTCTTCATTTTGTCTCAGTGCAGCAAGATTGCCAAAAGCAAAAACATAGAAACAAAAGCAGCAACCTCCCCCCCTTAGAGACTGTCTGTTGAGCTTTTTAACCTCCTACTTTCAAAATCTTCAAAATTTGGCAAATGTCTTGCTATAATGTTTATAGTCCCCCAAGTCTCCAGGTTTCTCTCTCCAGTCCCATGAAGCCACCCAGTGTCTTGCCCCTTGTCTGTGCCCTTAGTCAGCAGTGCCCCTAGGGAAGAGCAGCAGCAGCTGGTCAATCTGCATACCCCCAGTCCTCTTCTCTCGGGACCTTGGCCTTTGTGGTCTTGATGGTCTCAGCAGCGTCCTGAAGCTTAAGAAAATGCATTGCTTCCACTGAGAACAGTGAACAGCTGCTCTATCCTGAGCTGAGTCTTGAAGATTGCACACAGTGAGGAGGATGGGAGGGAAAGTGTTCAGTGGCACCAGCTCCTGATCAGAGGCACGGCAGCAGGATTGGAGGGCCTCAGACGCCAGCCTGGTAGAGTGAGGCATTACTGCACAGGCACTGGGGAGCCCTGAAGATGCTGAATGTAAAGTGATGCTGGCAGCCTTTGATCCAGTCATGTGCAGGCTTCTGAAGAGCGCCAGGTGGAGGACAAGAGGACAAGGCCTGTGGGTGGGCCCTAGGGCTAGCGGGGAAAGTGTATGAGGCTGCTCAGAGGACAGGGTAGAGGGCTGCAGGTCCTGAGGTGGGGAGAGGTGGGCAGTGGTGGGGCCGAGCCTAGGGATAGCTGGAGAATTGGTGGTGTGGTGTTGGGCTGGGGTTTAGTGAAGAGCCCTCAACGGGGACTGTGGTCCGGGAAATAGGTGGTATGGATGCCTCTTAGGTAACACAGGCTCAGGCTGGGAGGCACTGGATTTTAGAAAATCCTAATGGAGTATGAGAAGAAGAGGGAGAGGAACAAATCAGGGCAGAGGACAGGGAGCAGGAGGGACAGGGAGAAGAGGAGATGAGTATAGAATAGGAGAGTAGACTTGCATGGCAGTTGATGGCCTGGAATTAAATTTCAAGAGTGGTCCGCAGTTTGGGATGCCTTGGAAAACCTTGGATGGTCAAGGTGTGGCTCAGATCTCAGGGGACTTTTGGAGGCAGCATAAGAGTATAGCCACCCACCCTGCCCATGCCAGGCCTGGCCTTCTCCCACCCAGATTTACCTGCCACTTTCTCCTGCTGCCAGGCCCAGCATAAAGAGTATAGCCAAGTGGGTATTATAGGTGCTTTGGGCTAGAAATCAAATGAACCACAGAAAAATTAGGAGCAATCCATAAAATCGCAACCCAGACAGAGGTCCAAACTGGGTTAGCCTGCACTGGCGTGCCCAGGCCCTGGACAAGAAACCCTAGCCCCGTCTCCCAGCCCCTTTGGGATCAGCTTCCCAAAAGGTGCCTCTAAGAGGTGGGTGACCTTGGAATTGAACTTGAGGGAGATTAAGAGCTTCTCAGCAAAGGTGGGAAGGGTGCTCCAGGTGGACCCCAGCCTGATCAGAGGCATCAAGCAGTGGAAATGCCTGTCCTATCTAGGGTGTGGGGACAATTTGGAGAGGCAGCAGGTGGGTATGGGTTGGAGAGACAGGAGGGGAACTGGGGCAATCACAAGACCATGGTGTGGAGGACTTGGGTGTTACCCTGAGGGTTCTGGGGAGCCAGTGGCAGGTTTTAAGTCAGGCAGGTCTTGACTGCCTTGTGTTTAGATGGCTTAGTGTCTTCAGGGACTGGGAGGTGCAGGGGGCCTATAGGGAGGATGTTGCGCGTGGTCTGGGCATGTGATGAGGTGGGGGAGGAGGAGGAATTGAGATTGAATGTGAAGAATGAATCCCTGGGACTTGGTGGCAGCTTAGACTTGGGATGGGGGAAGAGTGAGGGGGTGAGGGAGCCTGGGGCTCAGCCCAGTGGCATACAGAGGAGCAGGAATGACGGAGGAAGATTATTCTGAATGGCAGGTGTGGATAGCCTGGGCCCCACCATGGAGGAGGAGTGAGGAGTGGGTCTCAGGCACGCATCTGTTTATTATTCACAACCTGCCCCAGGTTGTAGGTGTGTATGTCATGTTGGGGCTTTTACCCAGGGTGAGTACCCAGACTGAGGTGGGGGTTCTGAGAGACCCTCAGCAGCTTTGAATTATCTTCTAGAACCTTCCTGAAGGCATTCCCACTGATGGGGGAAACACAGGAGCGTGAGCGGGTCCTGACACACTTCTCCCGCCGGTACTGCCAGTGCAACCCTGATGACAGTACCTCGGAAGGTACGGCAGGTGTCTCCTCTGCCCCACCCACCCACCCTGCCCATGCCAGGCCTGGCCTTCTCCCTCCCAGATTTCCTGCCACTCTCCCCTGCTGCCAGGCCCAGATGGTCTGTCTGCTCTGGTATACAGTAGGTGCTCAATTAATGTTGCATAGATAATTGATGGCACGTGGAGTGGGCTCTGCCTGCTGGGAAGAGAGCTCCAGATATCTTGCCCATTGTCTCTCCCAGCACCTCAAAACTCTCCATCCTACAGGGTTAGTCCTTCGGGTCTTCATGTTTCCGGACTCTGTCACAATGGTGATTCTTGGTGTGGTGGGGGTCCTGATACATGAAGTTCTGCATGGGGACCATCTTAGGTATAGGACTTGTCCTTTGGATGGACCTGAGTCCTAGAAACTGAGGAACAAGGGGAAGAGACACAGGTCAAGTCAAGTACATGGCCCAGGACCCAGAGCCATTGCTGGGTCTGAGGTTCAAGGTGAATTTGGAGATAGCAGGCAGGTGTCTGGGCTGGAGCAGAACCAGGGCAGTCAGGTTTCCTCTGAGGGAGGTGACGGTCCTGACAGGAGGCAGGCAAATGACTATGACGCTGCAATGTGATGGTCAGGGAGCATCACGAAGCCCCTGGCCCTGAGTGTCTCGGGCGGGTGGCTGGCCTCTTCCTGTCTTCAGGGCCTCCAGGAGGGCGCTATCAGGAGACAGATGGGAAGCTGGGGTGGGAATGACCTGGATCATCACACTGAGAATGCCACTGTCTGTGATTTAGATGGGATCCACACGCTCACCTGTGCTCTGATGCTGCTCAACACGGACCTGCACGGACACGTGAGTTGGGGGACGTCCTTGCGCTGACTGACTCTGAGTCATCAGAGCCTGACCCTTCACCGAGTTCCCTCCCTGAGACTTCTTTCTCAGTGACTGTGTTTCTTTTAGCAAGTCCTGGGAGTTTGGCAACTAGGCTTCTAGATTTGTCTCTGCCCTAGTTTTTTTCCTGGGTCCTGGCCCCTAAACAGGATGGTGAGAACAGTTGAGTCATACGGGAGTTGAGGGTATGCCAGGTAAGATGTGTGCCCCTAGCTGGGCCCATGCCACTTGCTGCTAAAAGCAGTGTATTCCCCCCCACCCTCATCAGCAAGGCCAATGCCACCTCACTGAAATGCCATGCCCAGGAAGCCCTTGCCGTCAAATGGTAGGTTACTCTCAAGAGGCATTCTTGTCCCTTCCTTCACTCCACCAGGCCAATGAGTGAAGTGACAGGTGTGGGGTACCTGGCTGTGAGGCTGGGTTGGGCCCAGCCCCAGGTGGCCTCAATGTTTATCATGGCTCACTAATTCCTTCTTCTTTCCTTGGTCTGCTGCGGGGACCCTCTTTGGGCTCTCCTGCCCTTCCTCAGGTGGTAAGTGTAGCTAGTGGCGTGCATGCCCTGTGTGCCTAGACCCCCATCACCATGCCACCCTTCTGTGTCCCCATCACATCAATCTGGTCCCATCTGATCCCTTCCCTGTCATTGCTGACCCAGGGATGGTTAGAGCACCCTGTTGGGTTGGGGGATATTTTAGTGACTCGGGAACAATAGGCCAGCATGCCTGGTTCTAGAGTTAACTAGGGAAGTTCAGGCAATATGGGGTGGAAGAAAGCTGGGACAGGCCCATCTTCACATCCTACTCTTGCTTCAATGTGGCAGCTGTTTGACCCCGGGCAAGTCACCAGACCTGTCAGAATCTTAGGTTCTGCATCTGGTGGTGTGGGTCACAGTATCCTAGGAAGTCCTGAGAAGAGAAATAGACACAACACCAAGTGTCAGGATGATAGTATTCATTATTAATATTAAAACTTAAATGATGGTGACCTACAGACCCTTGGAGGGCCACACTGTGCAGGCTGCAGCCTGATGGCAATTGAGCATGGGGAAGGGAGGAGCAATCTGGGCTGTGCTCTGCTGGGGCACTGGCTTGGGAAGGGTGAGGGCCTCGGGGTGCCCTCATCGGGAAGAGCTAATGTGTGACAACTTGGGGGAAGTTAGCCTGGGCCTTGGCCTGAGTGTGGAACAAGAGAGAAGGTGAGTGTATTCTATGTGATGGTCACCAGGGCTGATGCCCAGGAACCAGCACTGTTCCTGAGACTGCCCCCTGTTGGTGGAGAGTGGGTATTGCTAGTTACTCTAAAAGTAGTAGTGAACGCACTGCTTGCTCCATTCCTGTCTCCACTCTTGGCCTGCCTGAGGGCGTACCCTGGGCCCAGACTTGGATGCCCCTCCCCATGGCTGAGCTGCTCATGAGGGCAGCAGCTGCTGCTCAGTGAGCCCCGGGGTAGAGCACATCTGGAGTGTGGTGGGCCTTAGCTGGCCATGGACCCCCATTAACCCTCCGTTGAGGAGAAAGTAGGTGTGACAGATCAGAAGTGGGTGGGGTAGGACCCTCATTCTTGCTGTGGGAAGACACCGAGGATCATATTTCTCTTGAGGCAGTGTTGCCCAATGACTAGAAGCCAGGTTCCAGGTCAGGTTCTCTGTATCTCTCCACGTGACAGCTGGGTGGCCTGGAGCAAGCTACTGACCTCACTTAGCCTCTGTCTCCCACTGAGGAGGAACAGAGATAGCACATGTGGAGTGCTTGGCCCAGGGCCTGAGGGTTGCAGGGGCTGTGAGTCTTAGCCTCTCCTCTCCCTCTGCTGCTCATCAGATAGGAACGGAGTGCCTCATGGGATGGGGGAATCTCAGGAATGTGGTGTTGAGAGCCACAGCTGAAGGGGCCCCAGCAAACTTCCAGCTGCCAGCAAACTTCCAGCTGCCAGCTGATGATTGGCTCACAGCGGCCCCAGCAACATCTAGCTGATTGGCTCCTCTGTGGTGATGCTCATTGGGCTGTTTCCCTGCCCTTTCAGACCACGGAGCTGCTCATTGGGGGACTTTTTTGGCTCTGCCCACGTGACCCAGCCAATCGGCCTCAAGAGCAGGAGGATTGTGGGAGGTGGAGAGAAGCTGGTGTGGGAGAGAGGGGCTTGTGGAAAGCCGGTGGTGGCAGTTGAGGCTCTGAGGGTTTTTCCTGAGAGGCTGTTTTGTTTGGCGTGTGTGGTTCTAAAAATAAAGTTAGTTTCTTTTGACAAGTGGCTCCTGATTGTGCCCAGCCAGACTGTGGCAATGTGGACCCTGATGGTGCCCCCGGCAAGAGTTCTGGTCAGAGAAGAAGGCAGAACGGGCTGCCAGAGCGTGTAGGTGCACTTGTTTTGGATGGGCATAGCCTGGGTGAGGGCTCAGGAAGGCTTCCTGTAGGAGGGGCGTCCGGACTGGAGGTTGGAGACTCAATGGCAGTCCTGGCTGCTGAGTGCCTTCTGTGTTCTGTGAAGAAGCGGGAAGGAAACCCTCCCTCAGGTCACCTGCCTTCTAATTAGAAGATGTGGGCAATGCCCAGGGGAACAAATGATTGCAAGTAGTGGTAGGTCTGGGACGGGAATAAACTTGTGTGGTGGGGGTGGACTAGGGCCAGGGAAGCTTGACCTGAGACCTGGAGGACCAGAAGGAGCTAGATACAGAAAGATTTGGGACAAAGTGGTCCAGGCAAAGGGGTCAGGAAGGATGTTTTTCACCTCTTGCCTATTGTGAATAGCTGCTATCAACATTCGTGTGCAAGTTTGTGTTTGAACAACTGCTTTCAGTTCTTTTGGGCCTACCCCTAGGAATGGACTTGCTGGATTCTATGATGTGGTCATTTTGTTTAACTTTTTGAGGATCCACAAAACTGTGACTGTTAGTTTGTGTCCAGTTGGGAGATGGACAATGGTGCCCTGGGTGAACAGGGTAGTAGATGTGGAAAGAAGGGGCTGCAGAGGAAACTTCTTGAGGGTGAGTCTGACAGGACTTGCTCTTGGTGTTGGTCAGGGAAAGAGAAATAAGGATGGCTTTGGCTGACTTGTGGTGCCATTTCTAGAGTCTCCTGTATTTGTGGTGGAGGTGATGGGAGAAGTGAATTCAAGTCCCTTATTTTATTTTTTGGTACTGAGGATTGAACCCAGGGATGCTTAACCACTGAGCCACATCCCCAGCCCCTTTTTAATATTTTATTTAGAGTCAGGGTCTCACTGTGTTGCTTAGGGCCTCACTAAGTTGCTGAGGCTGGCTTTGAACTCCAGATCTTCTTGCTTCAGCCTCCTGAGCTGCTGGAATTATAGGTGTGCCCCACTGCACTCGGCTCAAGTCCCGTTTCTGACATGCTGTGTTGGAGATGCCTGTTGGTCATCAACATGGGGACACCACAGGGGTGGTGAGATCAATGAATCCAGGGCCCAATAGAGTTGAGTGGGATATAGAGATGAAGGGAGTGGTGGTCACTGTCATCCTAATAGAACTTAAAGCCAGAAGCCTGGCTCAGTGCCCTGGGGAGAGAAGCAGGCTGATGGCCATGTTCTGAGGCCTGATGTGATTTAGAGGTAAGCAGAGAACCAGACAGGACTGTGAGGCAGCTGAAGAAGTCCAAGGAAAACCAGTTAGTGTGTGGCATCTCAGAAGCTGAGAAAAGAAAGTGTGTCAGTGGAGGAGCAAGGTCGAAGAGAGAACCATAATATCTGCTATGAGGGTGTTGAGGCTTAAGGAAAAAGATGTGTGTGGTCATATTGGAGAATATTGGAGAATGGAGATCAAATATTCTAGGAAAGTATGGTATGTTGTCGTGAGGGGTTGGTGCCTATAGGATTGGGTAGTGGATATACAATGGGACCAGTTAGCATGACTCTGTACTCCTCTCCAAGCTTATCCATTCTACTGGGCTGAGATCCACAGTGTAGGAAACTAGTTGGATTTTATCAGGGCTGTTTTTTTTTTCTAGGCAAATAGGACAGAAGCAGAAAGGGGCAACAGAGCTAGAAGTGTTGGTGGAAGAGTCGGGTCTAGAATCTAAATGGGTTAAAAAGAAAGTGGGGATGTTTGGATCTCAGCAGAGTGTCAAAACATTGCTGGAATAAGCCTTCCAGAGAAGAGTGATCTGGAAGGAGAGCAGATGGGTCAGGAGTGTACCCTTTCAGGAGTGAAATGGGGTGTTGGAGGTGGTTGATCCTGGGATAAGCTGGAAAGTGAGGATGTCAGAGAATGGTGATTTTCAACCTCCAAGCTAGAGAAGATGGCAGCCCTGGTTGAGCTGGAGATGGAGATGAAGAGAGAAGTTCGGGGGGCATTTTGGATGTCCATCCTCCAGCACTGGTTAATGGGCTGAATAGCAGGGTCAAAGGGGAGAACCATCAAGGAGGAGGCAGAGAAAGGGGACCTGGGTGGAGAGCCACTCCAGGAGAGTCCCAGCTGAAGCCAAGGTGAGTTGTTTTCAGGAGCAGCTTGGTTTCCCCCAGACCTCGGGTTTCTTGAAGAGTGGAGTTGATGGTGATGTGGGTTGGAGCAGGATGTTGGTGAACTCCAGGGATAGTCCAGGGATTTGGCTGCTTTCCTGAAGATCAGCAGTTGGGGTGTTTGTAACTCAGGTGGTGACAGAACTTCACACCAGGGAAGAGCCAGTATAATTAAGGGTTAGTGAGAATTTGCAAGTCTGCCCAGAGGTCTTTGCTCAGTTCCTTCCTTCCCCCTTCAGGGAGGTGACATCTGCCTTCTTTCAGCTTGGTCTGCCTCATCCTGCTTCTAGGGTGAGATTTAAAGATAGGATAGGCTTGTTCTAACCCTGCTGCTCAGGGAGGTCATGCCAGACCTATGGGGAAAGGTCTGGCTTCTGTGGGGTTAAAGTATGACCAAATTTCAGTACTTGGATGATGGCTTTGGTGGCTCCCCAGCCCTATCCAGCTTCCACTCTGGGAAAGGAAGTGAACGTAGTGAACTGGCCATCCTGGCTTGAGAGGGCTTGGGCTGGGGCTTGGGCTGGGGCTTGTCATCAGATGGGCTGTGACCTATTTCTGCTGGGAGACAGAGTCTGTGGAAGGAGGTCAAAGTTCAAGGGCAGCCTGAGAGGCCCTATATTTTGAAGCTCTGCAATTGGGTATATACCAGTTTAGGATGATTATGTTTTCTGGTGGATTGACCTTTTTTTCATTGTGAAAATGTCACTCTTTACCTCTAGTAATGCTTCCTGACTTCAAACCTATTTTGAAGATTTTAAAAAAATATTTATTTCTTAGTTTTAGGTGGACACAATATCTTTATTTTATTTTTAATGTAGTGCTGAGGATCGAACCCAGTGCCTCATGCGTGCTAGGTGAGCATCCTACTACTAAGCCACAATCCCAGCCCCTATTTTGAAGATGTTAGTGTAGCCATATTGCTGCTCTTGTGTTAGTTGCAGGGTTATATCCTTTTCTATCTTTTTGTTCCTGTGATGTCTGTTCCTTTATGGTTACGGTATGTCTCTTGTATCATAGACTTTTTAAAAGAGTAAGTCTGATAATTATCTTTTAACTTGATCATTTAATGAATTATGACATATTTGAGTTTAAATATACCAGGTTACTATTGTTTTCTATTCAATTCATCAGTTCTGTGTTCTTTTTTCCTTTCCTTTCTCACCTACTTTTGGATTATTTAAGTATTTTTTCCTAATTCCATTTCCCCCCTTTTAGTTTGGTAGTTGTGCATTCTTTCAAAATTCTTTTTTTTAAAGAAAGAGAGAGAAGAGAGAATTTTTTTTTAATATTTATTTTTTCAGTTTTTCGGTGGACACAACATCTTTATTTTATTTTTATGTGGTGCTGAGGATTGAACCCAGCGCCCTGCGCATGCCAGGCGAGCGTGTTACCACTTGAGCCACATCCCCAGCTCTGAAAATTCTTTTTGTAGCTTGTGATATAGCTCTGACTTGTCAAAGTACCTTTACCACTTCCTGCTCAATGTGATATCATTAATTCTATTGATTTTTCTTTCAAACCTTTTTTCTTTGTGGCCCTGGAGATGGAACCCAGGGCTTCACATATTTAAGACAAGTGCTCTACCACTGAGCCCTCTCCAAATTTATAAATTGCTATTATCATGCTTTTAACTATTATATCTCCTTATATTTTATTCCCCAGAAAACTGTATTGTTGTTCTATACCATTAATAGTCAGCTGCCCACTCTTTCCGCTGATCTTCATCCCTTTCTGCTTCTCTCTGCTTCCATCCGGGATGATCCTCCTTCTGACGCAAGAATTCCCTTCAGTATTTCCTTTCTTCATTTCTATTTTTTTGTTAAAGTATGACTGGGGAGTTTCCCAGGGCCTCTTGTCCTTGGAGCTCTGAGTCCTGGATTTTGTTCTCCAGTCCTATAAAACCACTGTGTCACTCGGCCTCGGGGTTGCTTGTGCTCGAGGGAGGAAAGCTGCTCCTCCTTGGTCTCTCCTCTCCATACTCCCTTTGGAAGGTTCTTCAGCCTTGAAGTCCTCATGGCTTTTATGTTTCTCCAGTGCCCGCACACAGATGTTTTATTAATATTTTTGACCACAATTGTTTCTATTGAGAAGATTCCTCTGGAACAAGATAGTCTGTGTTTTTTTTTTAATAGAAATCTTGCCTAGTTCTTTTCAATTTTGCACTCCTGACTAATGGTTAAAGAATATTCATAGTGTGTGGAATTCAGATGCAAGTACTATCGGTGTGGCCCTTGTGTTCTTCTATTACAGACGAACGTGTACGTGGCTATATGCTTGTGTATGGACACACAGATATGTACATGTAAAATATATGTAGAAACATATGAAACAAACATATATCAAGGCACACTGGGTCTTCTCTTTGACTCTTTGGAAAAGATGTGGAAAATTCTTGCTTGTCAGCTTATTAAGTCTTACAGCACTGTTTTCCTAATTATTTCTGTGGTGTGTAAATGTTCCCTATTATGTTAATAGATTCTACTTGCTAAAATGTTGCCATGGTCAATCAGTTTGGGAAAGTGTATGTGGAATCCCCTCTTGGGAGAATTTCAACACACATAAGCATTAAAGACTCTGAAACACATAAATAAACTTATTTAATAATGAACTCCTTTTCTGAGAGAATAGCTATTTCGATCTCATGGGATACCAGGGTTCTATAGGTAAATCTGATGAGACACTGTTTTAGAGCAAACCCAAGTCCACAGACCCTCACAAAGAAGCGTGCGTCCAGTGCTTCTTCAAATGTGGCCACACCAAGGAGAGTCTGACAGTGTGAACATCAGGTGTTGGGTTTGGAGGGTTCCAGTCCCTCAGTGGTTAAAGAGGAGGCAAACCTCGTGGATACAGTCATTCCCAGCTCTCTATTTGTATCTCCAGGAGTGAAACCATCTGCACAGGTTCTCTTTGTATCAGCCAAACTCAGCATGGGGCACCCATGTGTATTGGTGGAAATTGATTTTTGACTCTCATAAAACCAAATTCTCCCTTACTTCACCTACCTTTTGGAGGTCTTGCTGCCCCTCTGTGCAGGTGAGAGGGTGAGGCGGTTGTGGCGGAATACACAGAGCTTCTGCTCAGGAGCCAAGAGGCCTGGGTTCAAGTCCTGGTGCTGAGTGACCTTGGGAGAGTTAACCATGGAGGAGCGGGTGAGAGCATGGGCTTTGATGTCAGACACACTTGGCCCTTCCACTTCCTCGCTGTGTGATCATGGGCATGTCACTTCACTTTCCTGCACCTCAGTTTCCTTGCCATGTGGTGAGAAGAAAATAAAATAATGCATGTCAAGTATAGTACCTGGAACATAATAGGCACCTGACAAATGCCAACTATTATAATATTTCATCTAAACCTGATTCCTTCATCTGGGTTTGAAAAGAACCCCGACCTTTCATCATGCTTGAGGATCAAATAGAATCTTGAATGTGAAACAGTTTCGTAAACTCTTGGAGACAAAGGAAAATCCAGGCAGAATTATTTTCATGACTGCCTTTGATGATGCCTCATCTCTTCTGGTGGGGCAGGGTAGGGTGTGGGGACCACACCAGTTTCCTTCCTTACCCTCAGAAAGAACTGTTTCTCCATTACAGAACATTGGCAAGAAGATGTCCTGCCAGCAATTCATTGCCAACTTGGACCAACTGAATGATGGCCAAGATTTTGCCAAAGACCTGCTGAAGGTATTACCTGATGGGGCTTCCCATGCCCCTAGCTATGCCCTGGGAGGGTGGAGACTAGTCTCTGTTCAACTAAATCCTGACATTCCAGGCCCTTAATACTAGAGTCAGGGACACCATGACTTTGGGACAGAGTTAGAGAACATCTGGCTCAACAGGTGGCTGTTCCATATTCCCTGAGTTAGGCAGAAGGGTTGACTTTGTGAGGTGTGTTGTTTTGCTTCAACTATCATTATTGCTGCCACAGTAAAATCATCACTACCATTCATGGTCACAGCTGCCACCCATCACCACTTCCTTTACCACCGCTACCTCCATTATCTTCATATCACCCCCAGAGAACAGCCCACTCATTCTTCCAACATCACGGAAGTTAAGGGAATCAGTTTTCTTTTGAGATTGAACCGTAGAATCCCAGGGCGGAGCTCTGGCTTTTCTAGCTTGGTCAGTTTTCTACCTTGAAGAAAGAAAAACAGTTTTTTTTTGGGGGGAGGGGGGATAGATAATGAGTTCATTTCTTTAAACACTTTTTTTATTTGTAGATGGACACAATACCTTTATTTTATTTATTTTTATGTGGTGCTGAGAATCAAACATGCTAGGCAAGTGTTCTTACCATTGAGCCACAACCCCAGCCCATGACATCATTTTTAGATAGTGAATTTTTATGTCTGGTGGTACCAGGAAGGTAGTTGAATTGTGAGTCTGTTGGTAAATGTGTACAATTATTATGTGTTAGTTAAAAATTAAACTAAAAAAGAGAACATCATCTTCATCTCTCTTCTTAACACAATCGTCTTCTTCATTATCATGAAGCACTTATAAAACATATCTGTGAAATCAAACTGCATTCTACCTATCCACTTCTCCCCATCTACTCATCCATACTTGTACCTACTTCTCCATTCACCCATTCATTTTCCCATGCATCTCTCCATCTATACAACCATTCAGTTACTCAACTACTCATATACCCACCCATTCATTCATCACCCACACACACATCCCCAAACACTCACCCATATACTAACCACTCACTTGTACACCAATCTCATGTCTCTCCATTCCTCCATTCGTTCATCTACTCATTCATTCTCCCATCAACCATCATCTTATTGAGAACATACTGTGTGACAACATTCAGAGGTGAACAAGATAGACAGCTCCTGACCTAGGAAGCTTACAGTTTCCTGGGGATACAACAGTAAATGATCACAGAACTAAATAACACCCATCCGTACATTTACCCATGCTCTCATTTATCCACCCAACAAATAAGTTTGAATCAAACATTCACTTTGCCCCATTAACTGAAAAGGTGTTCCCTTGCTGGACACTCATTGTTGGAGGTAGATGGAAATTTCTTTGGCTCTTCTTCTGAACTTCCCTCTCTCTCTCCCCCCATCCCAGACACTTTACAACTCCATCAAGAATGAAAAGCTGGAATGGGCCATGTGAGTAGTGCCCACAGGCACAAGTATGGGAAGATGGCTTCACTGGGACAGGGAGTGGCTAGGAGTGCAGTTGGGCACACTGGCCACTCTCCATGGTGCTGATTTCTCCCAACCAAGGGCCCTGACAGCCCCTGTCCAACTGGCCAACATCCATTGTTGAGTTTCCTTTTGGGCTCATTTTCTGTCTCAATTAGAGTATGTGATGTTTACAGTGCTATGGAATAGACTGAACTATGAACTTAATTCGATGATGTCCGCAACTACTTTTCTCTACTGAGGATATTTCCAAATTTCCAACAATGACAGCTCTTTCCCCTTTGGGAAATAGGCAGGTAGGAAGCACAGACCCCCTAGCACTCCAAGAATATTACCATGTTCAGGGGGTAACTGCTTTTGGCAGTGTGGAGGAGTAACTGCCCCCTGTCTTCTTCCCCTATGAGACCTGGAGGTGCCCAGACATCTGGAAAGAGGGGTGGCAACCTTGCTATGAATGACTTTGGGGGGAGCCCATTCGGCTGTGCTCCCTAGAGAAGCCTGTGCCTTTGGGTCTGTATGGAGGTCCCAGGCTCAGATATCCTAACCCCATTGGGAATAGCAGGCACTCCTCCACCAGGGCTCTCATGGTGGCCTGAACTTTAGGGGCCTCTCCTGAGGCCTGCCCTTTGCCTGTGTGCTGCATGGTTGGTGCAGCAGCTTCAGTCTGCCTCTGGGTGAGTGCTCCCAGGTTAGGCTCTCAGGGTTGGAAGCAGGATAAGGAAGACTGGAAAGGAGACCTGAAGACAATAACGTCTCTAACTTTGTCATCAGGGTAGAGGATTAGTTTAGAGGCCCCAAATCAAAGATCAGAGGTCAGCAGTCAGAACTGAAGAGCGAGGTCATAGATCTGGATCTGGGATCTGGACCCTCCTCATCTCTATCTCTGGCGGCTGCCCTTTCCCTCTGGCTTCCTCTGGCTCTTAGAGTGGGTAGTTGATGGGAGAGGCCATGGCAATGTGGGGCAGAGGCTTCCATGGATGTGATGCTCAGCCTGGTACCTTCCTAGTGACGAAGATGAGCTGAGGAAATCCCTGTCTGAGCTGGTGGATGACAAGTTTGGGACAGGAACAAAGAAGGTTACCCGGATCCTGGATGGTGGCAACCCCTTCCTGGATATCCCACAGGCTCTCAGCGCCACCACCTACAAGCATGGTGTGCTGACCCGGAAGACTCACGCCGACATGGATGGCAAGAGGAGTGGGTGTCAGGCTGGATGAAGGGGCACGGGGAGGGATACTGGCAGAAGGGGGTCCCATCAGGTTGTAGCCACTTCTTTGGGGATGCACATTCAGTTAGATGCGCAGGAGGAGGTAGGTAGGACATGTTAGAGTGGGTGATTGTGGACACACTGTGCTTCCATCCCCAGCACCCCGTGGGAGGCGTGGCTGGAAGAAATTCTATGCGGTGCTCAAAGGGACCATCCTGTACCTGCAGAAGGTGAGAGTCTGCTTTAGAGTCCTTACCTAGGAAGGGTCAGCTCAGTCCCATCTAGCCCCTGCCTTGTGGTGGCCAGGGGCTCCTGGACAGGACCTGGGGCTTAGGGAGGTGTCAGGTCCTTCCCCCCCAAAAGGGCTTGAGCTTACTCAGGACTTTGGAGATTTGGGGGAGGGGTGTTCGAAATGCCCAGTAGCTCAGTAGCTACCCAGTGTCATGCCTCTGGGACAAATTGGGGCTTCTTGGGGGTTAAGGAGATAGAGGGACAGAGAAGGAGATCAAGATGGAGGGAGGTGAGAATGGAACACTTGCAGCAGTGAGCCAGAGCCTGGCCATGACAGCACATTCCCTACCCACCCTGCCAGGATGAGTACCGGCCTGACAAGGCTCTGTCAGAGGGCGACTTGAAGAATGCCATTCGTGTGCATCACGCGCTGGCCACCAAGGCCTCTGACTACAGCAAGAAGTCCAATGTGCTCAAACTGAAGACAGCAGACTGGAGGGTCTTCCTTTTCCAGGCTCCGTAAGTATGAGCTGGAGCTCCTCATTCCCACCTGGGCTCAAGGCCTACAGCACCAACCCTGCACACATCCCTTTCCTGATACCCTGGGGTGTAGACATCTTAGCTTCTCATGCATGTGAGTCCCAGAATGAGTGTGTTCACTTGGCACAGATCAACAGCTGGGTTCTCAAAGTGGGTTTCCCTCAGCATCTCTTGGAAACTAGTTAGAAATACTTAACTGGTTAGGTGCTGGCCCCGCCTTAGACCATTCAATTGGAAACTTGAGGTCGGCCCCAGCCACTGTGCTTTAATAAGTCCTGCAGGGGCTGCTGATGCATATGGAGGTCCCTGAAGGGTGAGCTGATGGAATCTTGACTTTAAATTCAGGTGGCAAAGACTCCCCCTTACCTTTGACCTGCAAGGCCTTCCTTCCACTGTGATGCTAGCTATCCTTCTGTGATTTGAGATTGGGGTTTTCATGTGCTAGATGAGCTAAAAAGGGGGTTGACTGGTAAGTAAGGCTTGGGGATCAGAGTAAGTGCTGGGCAGGTGGCAGGGACAGGACAGGAGGGCAGTGGAGGGGCCACCATTTGCTTCCTACCACTGTTGACCTCCTGAGCTCATGGGCTTCAGGGCAGGAGTTCTAGACTTGGACAGGTTTATTTTCATGTAAAAATCCAGGTGCCTGGAAGCTGGGACAGAAAGGGAATTCCCTACATGGTTCCCACCAAGCCCACCAGCCCCTGCCCCATCCTCCCGCCTCCCTCCCTCCTGTCCCTGCCTATAAAAAGAATCAGTGCCCTCTCTGTGCCAGGCCTAAAGCTGGATATTGGGTGCTGGGTGGAAAGATAGGGACTCCTATTGTGAGAAGCCGGTGCCCTCTCCCATCTCCTCCTGTCCCCAGGAGCAAGGAGGAAATGCTGTCCTGGATCCTGAGGATCAACCTGGTGGCGGCCATCTTCTCAGCCCCGGCTTTCCCAGCAGCCGTCAGCTCCATGAAGAAGTTCTGTCGGCCCCTGCTGCCCTCCTGCACCACTCGCCTCTGCCAGGTTCAAGCTCCTGGGATCATGACGCCACCTCCCCAGGGCAGCCCCAGGCCCAGGCCTCCCGTTCCACAGCAAATCCCAGCTCAGGGCTCCTGGTCCTGGGCTCCAGGGAAGGGCAGATATTCTCCCCCTACTCCCACTTCCAGAAGGGAAGACTAAGGCTGCTCGCCACATGCCCCACAGGCCTGGCTGTGCTGTGGTGGGTGGCAGGGTCACATTTCCTTGCCCTATGATGGGTGTGATGTAGTGTGAATACAAGAGGATATCTGTGTCATGGGGAGGCAGGAACAGGTGACACTGGCAGGCTCTTTCACCAGTGCGTTTTAATTTTTACTTTAAATATTAGCATTATTAACACATTAATTCTACAGATTCATTGTATTCACCATGATATTTCCATATTGCACTGAGCATGGCCATCCACCCTCTGCTTTCACCACACCCCTTCCTGGCACCCTTCTCATGCCTAGAGACTAATCCCTCTTCTACTTTCAAGTCAACTTTTTTCTTTTAGTTTCCACATATGAGAGGGAACATGTGATACTTGTTTGTCTGTGTTTAACATAACGTCCTCCAGTTCCACTCATTTTTGGGCAAATAGCAGTATTCCATTATTCTTTATGGCTGAATACTACATATATATATTCCATATAATATAATTATGTGAGTATATAAATGTATGTGTATGTATGTGTGTGTGTGTGTGTATATATATATATATATATATATATACATATATATATGTTAATCTGTTGATGGGTATCTAGGGTATCTAGGCTGATTCCATTATCTTGGCTATTTTGAATAGTGCTGCAGTAATCATGGTCAAACAGGTATCTCTTTTTGTATGCTGACTTATTTCCTTTGGATCTACACCCAGGAGTGGGGCACTGATTGAATGGTAATTCTATGTTTAGTTTTTTGAGGAGCCATCATACTGTTTTCCATAGAGGCTATACTAATTTACATTCCTGCCAACAGTGTACAGGATTCCTTTTTCTCCACATCTTCTCCTACATTTGTTATGATTTTTTTTATAATATGCTCTGTTGATGTCTTCACTTATCCTTAGATGTTTCATTTGTCATTCCACAAAAAGCTTATCTGATCAGTACTTCAGGTTTTCAGGTTACTTTTGGAGAGGAAAGGATAAATGGGCCAGAACTTGAGAGGTAGAGGGTTGGGGAAGCTCTAAACTTTCTGACCTTGTCAACTATTGTCCCCTTTCCTATTGGGCCTTAGTCTCTCCACCGAGCTCTGGGGCTTCTGCATCTTCCCAGAGCTCCTCTGTATGCATACACAGTGAACGCACCACGTACACACATGTACCACACAGGCATACACATGCTCGTGTATACACATAGTGCACTCATACATACGCATGCCCCACATGTGTGTCCACAGTCATGCACTTGCATGTGCACACTCTACAAGGGACCTGGCTATTTTGTGATGGGTGGGATGTGTGTGCCCTTGTCTGTCAGTGACAGTGTCTCTCTCAGTCTATCTTTGAGTGTGGTCCAGGATCTGTGACTATAATGCATTTCTGAGAATGAATATAAGAGAATGTATGGGTCATATGGAGCCACAGATAACTGGGGTCAGGCTCACCCTTGGCTCAGTGTGTTGGTGTATGCATGTGAGAGTTCCAATGAGTCACAAGTGTGTCTAGGTTGTGTCTGTATCATGGAAGATGCATGGGCATATATGAGTGTGAGGGGGCTCATCTCCTGAGCCTGCAGGGACATTATAAAAAGTTGGTGCCCCTGGGAGCAAGGAGAGGAAGGAGGAAGATGGAAGCCGCTCTCTCTTGGGTCCAGAGCCTGGCTGTACTGCCTTGGACTTGGGAACTCCAGCTAGTCTATTTCCCTTTGATGACCCACTCCGGTAACATCTGAGAGTTGGGCCTCACAATCTAGGGCTTATCTTTGCAGGAGGAGCAGCTGCGGTCTCATGAGAACAAGTTGAGGCAGGTGACTGCAGAGTTGGCAGAGCACAGGTGCCACCCAGTGGAGAGGGGCCTCAAGTCCAAGGAGGCCGAAGAATACCGGCTGAAAGAGCACTATCTCACGTTCGAGGTGGGCCTCTAATGGAGGGATAGGGAGGGTCTGGACCAGGGCCAGAGGAAGAGGCCAGCTCTTGCCCTCCACCACCCACCACCGACCACCACTATCCTTCTACAGCTAGGGGCTTCTAATTTGGGAGTTCCCCACTTTGGGGTCTCACCTGAGGCAGGTGTAATCTATTTATGGATCATGGTTCCTGTGAGCCAGTCTTGCACAGCCCAGCTGCCAAATGGTCATCAAACTATTGCATTTCCCTTGGGTCTCTCCAAGAGCACTCAAAAGACCCCAATAGAAATGCCACCACCTTTCCAGGATCCTTTCTCACCTATGCCTCCAAGATAGGCCCAGTTTCTCTGGGAGCTTTTATAACCAGCCATAAATCACTCAACTCCTATCCACCTGATTCTCCCACGCACCCTTTTGGCCCCATTTTCCTTCAGCACATATGTTTATACAGCAGAACAACTTCATCTCTTCTTCTTCACTTCCTTCTTTCACCTTGTCTCTCTCTACTACCTTGATTCACCTCATAATGTTCTACAGGTGGGCCTGACCATGCATCACCTTGGTTGGGTAAAGGAGGTGGTGTTAGGCGGAGGAAGGAAGGCAGGAAGCACTTGTCCATTTTGGACTGAGTAGCAGATGGAGGTGTTCAGACAGACGAAAAGCCTGAGGCTGATCCAGGAAGTTCCCAGAGCACAAATGGCAAGACCTCACCAATCTCAGTCTCTAGATTTCCATATTGACTTTTTGTTGAGGTGTAGGGGAAAGAGGAGATTCTCAGGATAGACCCTGATTTTTTTTTTTTTTTTTTGCAGTGCTGGGTGTTGAATCTAGGGCCTTGTGCATGCTGGGCAAACACTCTGCTACTGAGCCACATCCCCAGCCTTAGGCACTGACACCCCCAGCCCCCCAAATGCTCTACCATGGAGCCACCTTCCCAGCAGACCCTGACCTTTTGAAAAACAGAAAACTTGATAGCTTTTGAAAGCCTCACATTGACTCTCTGCAGTGTAAAAATAGTGATGGCAAAAGCTAGATTGATCTCTTGCTAAGTATTAGGCCTGTTTCTTCTTGCTTCCATTGAATTGGCTGATAATCATCCTACCAACTCTGTGAAAAGGTTCTGTTGTTATCCCCATTTACAGATGGGGAAATGGAGGTTTTCATGGGGAAATAGAGCACTTTCATGAGGTAACATAGTTAAGAAGTGTAGGAACCAGGATCCTAACCTATGTGCAGCTCCAGTACCCTGGTCTACTGTCTGTCTCTATAATTTTAATTGTTCTAGATATCTCAAATAAGTCGAATCATACAGAATGTGTCTTTTTGAGACTAGCTTATGTCACTTAGCATAATGTTAAGATTTATCCATGTAAGCTGGGTGTGGTGCACACGCCTGTAATCTCAGAGGCTTGGGAGGCTGAGGTGGAAGTTCAAAACTAGCTTCAGCAATTTAGTGAGGCCCTAAATAACTTAGTGAGACCCTGTCTCAAAATAAAAACACAAAAAGGGCTGGGGATGTAGCTCAGTGGTTAAGTGCCCCTAGGTTCAATCCATGTACTTCCCCCCCACCAAGAAAGGATTTATCCATGTTGCATATTTCAGAATGGCCTTTCTTTTTAAGGCTGAAATATTCTATTGTTTGCATACAATGTGTTTTTTTATCCATTCATCTCTTTTTTATATATATTTTATTTTATTTTTTTATTAATTTTTAAAATTTATATATGACAGCAGTCCTTTCATCTCCCGATGGACACCTGAATTAGCCATGAAGAACTTTTGAATGTGCTTGTTGGCCATTTGTATATCTTTTTCAGAGGAATACCTATTCATGTCATTTATTAATTTTTAAATTGTCTTGTTTGTTATTTTTTGGTGTTGAGTTGTAGGAGTTCTCTATATATCTGAAATATTAACTCCTTATCACATATATGATTTTCAAATATTTTCTGTCATTCTGTAGATTGCCTTTTTACTTGTTGGTTGTATTCTTTTTTTTTTTTTTTGTAGTTGTAGATGGACAGAATGCCTTTATTTTATTTGTTTATTTTTATGTGATGCCTTACGCATGCTAGGCAAGCGCTCTGTCACTGAGCTACAGCCCCAGCCCTGTTTGTATTCTTTGATGTGCAGAAATTTTAAGTTTCGGTGCAGTCACATTTGTCTGTTTTTACTTTCATTTCTTGTGCTTTTGGTATCGTACACAAGAAACCATTGGCGATTTTTTTTTGATTCTTAAAAGTATTAGTAAAATTTATGTGCATGTTTCTTGTCTGTTTTTATTGGACAGTTTATTTCTTTTTATTGATTGTGAGAGGTCTCTGAATATTAAGGATAAGTTTTCGGTTATATAATATATAAATTTTTTTCTCATTTTATTGTATGAACTTTGATCTCGTTTTTGGCTTTTCTCTGCTCTTTTTTCCCCCAGAAAAGTCGTTATGAAACCTATATTCACCTCCTGGCTGTGAAAATCAAGGTGGGCTCAGATGATCTGGAGCGAATTGAGGCTCGGCTGGCCATGCTGGAAGGGGATGATCCTTCTCTACGGAAGACACACTCTAGCCCTGCCCTTAGCCAGGGTCATGGGCCTCTGACTGGCAACAAAGCCACACAGGATGCTACTGGGTCTGATACTTAGCTGGTGTGGACATGCTGCAAATGGCCCAGAGGGGTCAATGAGCACAATTCCAGCCTGGGGCCACCGGGACCAAGCGCCAGGCAATTGACAGGCACCCAGAGGGGCATGGAGAGCCCCGTGGACCAAGGAGTTGGAGATGCCATTCGTGGCATTGGTTTTCTTACATCCTGGGCCATCTCTGACCTTGATCTTCTCCCCAGCCCTCATTGCCCTTTCCACACAGGGTCTCACTTTTTAGGCCAGGGTGTACCTGCTCTAGCACCTCCTCACTGGAGAAGCAGAGAGGGCCATTGCTTCCCCTGGCCACCTTCTTCTCATCAAGCTCCTCCCTCATCTCCCATGTGTGAGGGTAGGTCTGGACTCTGGGTCTCAGCTTGGACCCCTCTCCTCCCTTTTTCTTCCTCCTTCCTTTGAGTTGACCAGCAGCAGGTCTGTGGACCACCAGCACCATCCACTCCTCCTCCCAGCGACCTCTGCAACCAGGCCCAATTATGCCTCACATCGCAATAATCTGGGACCTTGGCCTGCCACCGCTTAGTACCAAGTTGTCTCCACGTTCACATCTCCTTCCATCATGGAGGCCACTACTGTCTCCTTTTTATACAAACATAAATGTACATATATATATATATGTATACAAAAAAAAAAAAAATATATATATATATATATATATATATATATATATATATATATATGAAATCCCTTTAAAGATGGGGTTGGAATGGCTGTCAGAGGATGAAATCAGATGAAGAAAAGCCTGTTTTGGAGTTCTGCCTGTTATCAAGTTGGGCTCCATAGCCTTGACAGTCTGGGAGGGAAGATGGAGATAGTGCTGAAATCCCCTCACCTGCCTTTTCCTCTTCCGGCTGACCTGTGACTCACAACTGATCTTCCAGTTGATGTTTTTGGACTAAATAGACAGGATCTGTGTGTGCCACCCCTTCTGTCCCAAGGCCGTCCTGGGGGGTAAGTGGGATGGGGCCATTGCCTTGTTTGTACTTGGCTATTTATGTTGGTGCTGCCAGGTCTCTGAGCTCAGAGGTGGCCTCTTGTACAGACCTACTGCCTAGGAATAAAAGACACTCCACCTCTCTCTCCAGAGAGCCACTTGTCAATAAGCCCAAAGATGTCTGGTGGAGGAAGGTTATGGAAGCCAGTAATTCTTGGTCTTGGGAAAAGGTGGAATGACAAGTTGCTGATTGTTGATATTTCTTTTATTTTTCTCATGAATCAGAAAGGCTTTGCTAAGGACAGATCTGGGAAGAATAGAGATATTTTCCATATGCCCATCACAGATTAGCATCCTTCAAACCCTGTATTCCTCAGGCCCACAAGTGAGTGGGGGTGAAGGTGCCCTCAAGGTGGCTATGGTGAGCCAATCTTCCCTATTGTTTAAATACATTACTGTAGTTTGGCCAGCAATTTGACCTCTGTGGTAACATATTTAATTAATAAGATAAGCCAGCCTCACAACTAAGTACCTAACATTTCCAAGCCCACTCACATTTGATGCAGGGACATGTGAGTATGCGGAGAGAAGTAGTGATTTAAATCCAGATTATTTAAGTTGGATCAACTGAAGTGTTTTATAACCAAACCATCTGGCCCCTTGGTTTTGCTCAGGGGAAGTAAATGTTCATTTAAATGAAATTGAAAAGGCAATGTGGCAACATAAAAGAGCTCTCTGTACTTTTTCCACGCTGCCTCAAAGGTCCTTTGATTTTCAGGCCAGCGTCCCACTCTCTGCTCTGTTGAGGGTGGGTGACGACCAGAGGTGCAAGCTCCAGCAGCCTCGGACAGATGTGCTTCCCCTGGCACTAGTTGTGCCTCTCATCAGTAAAGAAATTTTTAGTTTGCTTCCTTAATTGTATAATTATTTATTTGTAAATTATATACATGTACTACTGTACTAAAATATTATGTACATTATAAAACATACACAAAAATAGAAATTTAAAAGAAGATGAGATAAAATAAATCTAAATCAAAGTTCTAATATTTCTTCCTGTATTCTAATGGACTATCATGTTCCCTGTCCCAATCTCTGCCCTAATATAACCAGTTTCTAAGACTTTCCAAATCCAGGGCCCTGGGAGATGTAATAAGTGGTTTGTGCCACCTGGTGATCCTGGGAAGTGGTTGCAGGTACAGGGGTTCCTGGGGTAGGAGGGGGCTGGCCCTTGATCTTGGTGTCTTGAGCCTCCATCCTGGCATTCAATGAGGGTCAGTCGTGTGCTGCACCCTGTAAAGGGTGATGGGGACAAAGTGGTGAGAAAAAGATCAGTTTCCTGTCCTCATGGGGCTCAGAGTCTAGTGGGAAGAGGGACAGGCAGTTACCATTACCTTTTGGGACTCTGGGAGGAGCCGAGGAGAGAAGCCAAGTGTGATCCAACAGAGAGAAGAAAGAATTTGGGGAGTGGGGAAGAAACTCTGACTCAGATAACTGCTCAAATATCCTAAAAATTCTAGGGGACAGGGTAGTAGGAAGGAAGTTGCTTAACAGGATGGAGACACTTTGTGAAAGGCCACACTGAAGTTCCCCCAAAGCAGAAATTTGAGAGGCAGAGTGGAGAAGGGTCTCTCTGGCCAAATGTGCTCCCAGGGGTGGATGACACAAGGAGGAGGAAGCCGAGGAATTATATTAGGTCTTGGCTTTGGACGTTGGCAGGTATGGCAGGTATCTTAGAATTCAGAACAATAATGAAGGCATCGTATGAGGTCATGTAAAGGTCATTGAATTCTGAATTAACTGGGGGTCACATAGAGATCAGAAGTTCATTTGAGTCATGGAGGTGGTTTCTGACTGAAAATTCAGAAGGTAACAACTTAGAGCCCTCAGAAGGGTCAAATAAGGACACTAAACTGGGTCATGATAAGGTCAGTGAATTTACCAGGAGTACATACAGAGTAATGTGGGATTCCATGGAAATCAGAGGACACATAGAGAATTATCAGCCTTCAGAAAAATGTAAAGTCAAAAGCAAACTGAAGAGATGGCAGAGGGGCCTGGATGAGGCCATCTGATGGGGACTGAGAAGGGCAGTGATGTGCCGGTTTGCACAACAGCTAGTCAATTATTTCTTTTTGTTTCTTTGTCGTAAGTGCTTGCCTTAGCACCCCACAATGAATACAGAGACTTTACCTCTTCTTTTACTTTTCTCCATCATCTCTCATTCAGTTTTTGCCACACTGACAACGTGATTCAAGGATGCAAGGCATGGTGGTGTCATTACCACCCAAGTAGCACTTACTAGATGTCTACCAGGACAGTCCCGGGTCCACAGCCACTCTCTGAAGTAGGTATTTTCATCCTCATTTCACATCGAGGACCCTGCAGCCTAGATAATTCTTAGACAACTCACTAGCTGTGGCAGGTGTTCAAACTCAGGTCCCATTGGTGCCTGAGCCCTCCCAATCCTAAACCTCTTTGTCCCACCTCTCTATAGGTCTCTGACTACACACACACACACACACACACACACACCATACAGACACACATATCCACCTCAGCTCTTTGGAGAGATTTCCTCGAGTTCTGGCTGGAATCTTCTGGTTCCTGGTGCTGGGTATTGATTTAATAAATTAGTTGATAAGATGAAAGACTTAACTCTGGACCTCCATCTGCCTCCTCTATACCTGAAATCATGTACCCTTCATCAAGGGCTGCAGGTTTAGACAGGTCCTGGCTCTGAGGGGGTATAAAGTTGGGGAAAGAGCAATCCCCTGTGGGCTTATGAGCTGCAGCTGTTGTGGTCCTTCTGGCAGCAAGGGTACCCATTATGCTTCTTTGCATGTCCAGACTTTGCCTGTGACGTGCCCAAGGCCCCAAGGGTCATCTTGCCTCAGCTACCCTGTGCCAACCCCACAACCCTTCCTTCTTCACCCACCCAGGCCCGGAAACTGTTGCCTCAAATCCAGCCCCATAGCTCTGGGGCAAGAACTGGGCCAGAGTTCTGAGGCTGAGTTTGAAGCAGAACAATTTGCGTCAGTCCCTTGGCCAGGTTCCTAGCAGCCAGGGGGGACACCTTGTAAATGGTTTTGGAAGAGGGAGGTGGGTTGGAGCCTGTCCTGGGAGCTGGGGCCAGGGAGATTGGAGAGAGGGTCACTTTCTCCCAGGGACTGCACTTGCCCTCTCCTACCTTCACTTGAACACCCCATGCACTTCCACCTCAGGTACTCATCCTGTCTTCCCTCCTCATCTGGGCTAGGCACACACAGTCAAACAGGAGTTATTTCTGATTTTATTTATAATATAAAAATGTTCAAGTGTCAACAGTCAGGTGTTCGGACATTTCAGGGCAGGGTTCCCATTTGTTTCTGTTTGGGATTTTTTTTTTAAAACAATTTCTTTTTTTGACAAATTAGCTTGGATCCAGTTTTGAGGGTTGGGGAGGGTAGGACTGGAGAGAAAGTGGAAGTCATAGGTGGGTATGGGGACTGGGGCCAGGTTGTGAGAAGGAAATGGTTACTTTATTGCTAAAAGGGGAACTGAATACACTGTCGAGTGGCTCTTCTCGGTCCCAGCGTGACCATGCATCCAATCTAAAGAATCTGAAATGCAAAGGACATGCAGGCATAAAATAGAAAAGACGACCTGTAAACGAAGGTGCTGCAGAGGACAGAGGGCATCCTGGAGGCCGCAGGGGAGGAGGAGCCATGAATATTGGGCCCCTGGCACAGCTGCCCCCTCCCTGGGCCTGGGGCTGCTGGGGAGACCTCTTTCTGGCCCCCCTCCCTTAGCAGCTGTGAGGAGCGGGGAGAGCCCCTCCCCATTCTGGTTGCTGTCGCTGGGCTTCTGTCTTCCCCTGTAAGTTACCTGATCCCAATTCTAGCACTTAAACCTAGGATCCCTGCCCTCTACTCCCAGGGGGCCCAGGACTCCAAATATGGCTGGGTACAAAACTACTTCTGTCCTCAGTTTCTTCCTCAGCACCCACCATCTTCACCCCATAAAACCCTCACAGTCTCTCTCCCTGCTTTCGCTCACTCAACCAGCTCTGGATCCTATGGCCCACCACCACCCCGCAACCCAGACGTCTCTCCAGGAGCCCCAGATTAGCGTACAGCAAAAGGCACCACAATATAGGTTTCTATTAAAGAGTCAAAAAATTGGCCCATCTCTCTTTTTTTTTTGTTGTTTCTTTTTTTTTTTCCGAAGCTGTAAATCAGGATGTTACATATAAATAGTTTCCCTATAAAAACGTCTTTGCCGTTAGCTAGTATTATAAGACAATTTTTGCTAAAATGAAAATAAAACATTTTTGTTATACTTTTTTCCTTTTATAGAAAATAAAAATATTTTTATTTCTTTTTTTTTTCCCTCCTTTCTCCAGTCGGTGGTCTCTGTTCTCCTTAAAGACAGTGGGGCGGGCGAGGCGGAGGGGGCGGCGGGGCCCTAAAGGGGCGCCGAGTCCTGCTTGGCCCGCGGGGGCGGCCCGCGGCTGTGTCTGCTGCTGGCCCGCGTGCTGTGGCTGTCCAGGGAGTAGTAAGTCCTGCTGTCGGCCGCCGGGCACAGCGGCGGCGAGTCCGAGCGCAGAGCGTCGTGCGCCGCGCGCAGGCCAAGGAAAGGCGTGCTTTCGGCCGCCAGTGCCCCGTCCGCGTCGTCCGCGTCGTC